CAGCTGCAATCTCTTTCTCTGCATCCCTACAAAGAAAAACACATTCCTTCTTTCTCTGGGATGCTGCCAACGCCATGTGGCATACTCCCGCATGCCCACAGAGGCACACACATGCAGCCTATAAGCTATCGAGAGCCTTCTGTAAGACACACAAGGGCCGTGTGGGGTGTCAGGCAATCTGTGCTGCTGTGCTCTAATCTTTTTAGATCTTGGAGGACTTCTGATCTGTATCGCAGTCATCTGTCAGGCTCCTAATATAGACAGGAAATGTGTGCCCTAGAGACACATACCTACTATTGTGCAGATATTAGGATTACTTTTGTGTTGAAGCCTTTTCTCCTCCATAGAGTCTGCCATTTGTGGCCTGAAGAGACAAATCATATGTTCATTCCACTATGTTGAACTTTAAAGGGGCCCTATATGTTCAGTTGTAGGTTCATATTTGTATTTTGTGCCTCTACTGCGACATGTCTCCATGCTTTAATATTCAAAAAGCTCTTTATTTTTCTCATACGTGTCATCGTGCTGCAGCACCTCTTTTCACCCTCTGTCTGAAACCAGAGCCCAGTCTGCTCTGATTGGTTAGCTGGCCGGCTCTGTTGTGATTGGCCAACCGCTTAGAGATGTCCCGACCCTTAGCCATATCATGTATAATGTGTTGGAGCGCTAGCCAATAGAAGCGTAAGTGTTTCATATTGATGTCACTACAGCATGTTACGGAAGTAAACAAAGCAGTCGTATAATTTCATTTCATTACATTACATGTCACTTGTTAGACGCTTTTATCCAAAGCGACTTACATACTCAATACTGTGGACAATCCCCACAGGAGCAATTTGGGGTGAAGTGTCTTGCCCAGGGACACAACGACATGCTGACTGCAGTGGGGTTTGAACCCTGATCCCAACACCAACGCACAAAAACCTATATACCATACTACAAGAGAAAACAGTGGTTGATAAATACAAATTCAAGGTACCATTGGGTACTGGAACTGAATTCAAAGTGCCAGCTCAAATGTTAATTGATCCCAACCCTAAGGTTAGTTTTAGGGTATAAAACAAATAAACAAAGCTAACAGCTGCCAAAAAGATATACTGCTAGAAAAATGTCGTGGTGCCTTTGGAAGCTGAAGGACCTAATTCAGTCTAAAAGCTTCTTGAGTTTTCTCTCTCTCTGTCGGGCTTTGGGGTCACAGCATGAGAAGCTTACTGCTTGGCTGCTCTCTGGATGATCAGCCGAGCAACAGATACACATTTGGCTTTCAGTGGAACAAACCATAAAGGATTATTTGTAGACTATGGATAGTTCTGTCAAGACCTGCCTGGATTCAAGACTAGGATAATTGAATCCTCTTTTTTTAAATGTATTGCATTCTATTGCTTTGATGATGCTGATCAGATTGACCGACTACATTACTTTATGGCCGTCTCAACCCAACGCTGGAACTCAGTTGGAGAATGACGAGAAAAGCATGATAAGAGATATCTTTCGGCCATTTTAAATAATCTGTTACTCTTTAGTTATAGCCAGTTACCCAGAGGATACGGAATAAAACATGATTGCAATCAATAATATCTTTCTAACATCTTAATATCATTTAAATATGTACCTGTACTTTAGTAGGAGATGGAATGTCCAGGAGCAAAACATGCTAAATACATGTGAACGTGTGCAAACAGCAGAAATGACCCATCGTAATGCCAGAGACCATTAGCATGATGGGAAGATCGTTGAAGTGGAAGGAGAGGCTAATTAGGAAGATGACTGGTGATGCTGATGGATTGGTAAAGGAACATATTATGTACTGAAACGCAGTTTTATTAAGATGGACTTCTATTTCGAAAGACATTTCACAAAAATACAATTATGGTTAGGAAGATTGCTGTAATGTATGATGTAATTAATAATGCAAAGGGTATTTTGTGGAGAACACTGTGACTGCTATGTATGTAGCAACAGGTTTTCTGACAGTGTAGATACATATTTCTCCTCGTGTTCACAGAAAAAACACGATGAACTTCAGTTGACCCAAGCAGCACATTGGGTAAATGTCAGTTGTGGATACAATTACATGTAATATCAGAGGCATATCTACCATTGTTGAAATAATTCACCTTTCACCTAAGCCCTTTACTTATGAGTTTATTTAAGTTACCAAACTTGAACTGAAAGAGTTTGTATAAAAACGAAGATGTCCTTACTTTTTTGGTTTAACTTCATTGAGTTCTTGTCTGGTTCGGCATAATACTCAAATGTGACCAAATAATTCTGAAGTCTTACAGTTTACAGCTAAAGTGATTTGGATCAATTTATGCTATGCATTCATCCATTATGTGTAACTACTTAACCTTTTACAGCTATCATTGGTCAAAAGGAAGGGTTCACTCGATAGAATCCGGAAAACATGAAGAAAACCAACGGTAACACGAGGAGAACTTGGAAAGTCCACACAGAAAGTTGGGTTTATTGTGAGTCAACATTGCTAACAACTGCACCACTTTGCCGCCCAACACAGTCATCTAGTAAAGATGACTAGTTATGCTTTCGAGTTTTCATCTCCGTATTTAGTTTGATAGCCAGTTGGTGATATCGTTTGCTAAACAGCGGCCATTATGACCGTCATTTTTGGATAATAGGACAGCATTTGCCGTCTGCTAACCCAGAACATGTCGAGGTAGTTTCTTTAAAGACATACACGTGATGTGCTTGAGTGCAACAGTAACCAACCCAAAAAGTCCACAAACTGAATTATTAATCTCTACGAAACAGCTGTCTGTTTAAACGTTTGCTAACTTTAGCTTTCATTAGCCCCTATAAGCTACTAGTCAAACCATGACCAAGCAAGGCTGAAGAAGCAAAACCTCGGTGTTAGGGAATCATTTGCTTAGGTATTCAACCTTCGACCCAGATCATCATGTTCTCCTCTCACTGTCTCCTTTCCCATGGCATATGTCTATGGCCTTGGGTATTGCTGCTATCTCTCTTAAGGAGGGGCAGCTTGGGCGCATTGTTGTTGCCAGTCTATGACAGAGCACAAGCCGCCATGAGGTAGTTTACTCTTCAGGGACGTACTGTAGGTTCCCTGGCGCACATTATTTTCTATGGACGAGAGCTAGTTAGATTCAGGGTCCATATTGCTTTAGTCTCACTGATAAAGAATGTTGATTATTACACTCCACTCCGAACTAGTTAAAACATTGAGCTGCAGAAGAGTTCTTCAGAATTGGTTTGGTAACCGCCGTGTCAACTCGTGACACACCACCTGTCTTGTCAATTCTCCGGCCGTAACTCCAAATAAACCGTCAGTGTTTGCCATCAAAGCTCCAGCTCTCCTCGTGCCCCTCTGAGTCCTGTTTCCAATTGCTCCAGAGGTTTCCCCCACACTCGGGACATAAAGAAATAAGTATGTTTGCTCATGGATTCAACAATCCATTAGTCAGAGGGAGCTCTTTTGTAGGTGACTGAGAGAGCCAAAAGTGGAGGGCAGTGCTTCCTCTCTCTGTATTCACCACAACAGAGTGCTGACACAAACTTTGGCCAGCTCCCCTCGGCTATGATTCAACGCAGTTCATCATTCATTCAAATTGTTTAGTCTGGACACGAACAGACAGGCGGATCGATTCCTCCCGCTGGGTCTGAGTTTGTCATCTTGGTCCATTTCTTCAGATTTGATACTGAGGACATGATGAATGGCTAAATCTGGATTGGCTCATATCTGGTCCAACAGTGCATGTCTGGTGTTAATAAGTAATCTGTACACTAACCTGTGGTTAAGATAATTACATAAATGTCAGATTAAATGATTTCCTGATGGGGAAGGTCTTCAAAGTATGTGTACATTGTGTATATGATCTTTTAAGGCCAACGTTTATCTAATACGTTTATACTTTTATAGTCCATTCATCTGAACTGACTTTCATGAAAATGTGTGAAATTGTGGGAAGAACCCATTCGAATTTGAGTACCTAAAAGATACACATTAATGTCAAATAAAGTAGGGATTCGCTGATCTTACCTTTTTAATATCTGGGCTTTAATCGGCTAATTAAGCTGTATGACTCATTGAGTGGAAGAGACATGGATAACTTATTGTTATGTGTGTGGCAATAGATATCCAATTTGAGTTCTGGTGCATCATGACTGAAAGAATCATGGACATGTACACATGTGTTTGTGTATGAAGAGCAAACCCTTCTAGCACCCTGTGACACCTTTCTAAACATCACCTTCCTTAAATCCACTGTAGCATCATTTGTGGGTTTGTTCATCACATTTTAATCAAATGTATGTATGGATGCTCAGGATGGTTGATAACTGCTCTCAAATATGCTACATATTTACAGTTAATGCTGCATTAAGCCTTTTCCAAATGCTTTATAGGCTTGGCTTCTTGAAATTGAATTGGTACCCTTCCTCCATCCTTTCCCTCCCTTGTTTGCACCTTGCCAACAATTCAACAAATTGCACCAAGAAAACAGGCAGTGATGTATGCTGCAGTGCCACACACCTTTCTGCACTATCATAGGGGACCCAAGCAAAGGCTTGTGTGTGTGTTTAGTAGTACAAACACCACTGGAGCAACATGGAGGGAGCCGGTCTCCAGGCAGTAAGTGCCTGGTTTAAGGCTTTGTGGCTTCCTTCTGATGCTCATCTGCCAGCACAATGGGGGAAGAACCCCCCGCTGTAAGTGGGTAATAGGTGGTTTGTTCAATTAAAGCATAATGTTGGTTTGTGTACAGTATGGATGTACATGTAAGCACATACTGTGATGCTGATGAACACCCCCAAAGCATACTAACACACACTGGAGGAATGGATGGGGGGTGGCAACAATTGTGGTGTTGGTGTGTGGCCTAGTTTTACATGAGGAAGATTGATGGAGGGTCGAAAGGACACATAGATGAGGACATAGATGTATAGATAGATATATATATATATATATATATATAGATAGATGTATGTATAGATATAGATGAATAGATATATAGATGACTCACATTCCAGGTGCTTCTTCTTTGGAGCTGTCTGTTCATGTGTGGTGGCTTTACACACGGCCCGGGCCACCTCGGATCCGGTCAGGCCGGCCTGCGCCGCGGCGATGCGGTCCGTCAGAGTCTGCCCCGACATCTTCTCTGTCCGTGGAGTCCGAACCTAGACTATAGAGCGGCCACTACGGTCCTACCCCCCCCCCCACACACACACACACACACACACACACACACACACCGAAATGAACGACCCCGGTGTCAGTAATCCCAGTTGCCCTCGAAAGTACCACAGGCACACAGCTCTAGAAGAGAAATAGCAGGACACTTTCAATAGAATTGGAAATTATCTAAGTTGCATAACAATAGTGGCTGGTTAGGTTGGATCTGCACGCGTTTCTGGACTTTTCTACCCTGGAGATCGATATCCGTTCAAAAATAAAGGCAACTGCTAAAACCCTAAATCCTGATTTTAATTCTAGGCTTTTCCTTTCAGTTTCTTACTGTTCCGCGTTATTTGTCGGCCTGACACAACGCTCCCCTCCGGATGATGCGAGTCGCTGCCTCCCCTCCTCCCTGCTTCCTTCCTCCAGCCTCCTGGATAATCCTCTCCACCAGCAGCCCGACAGTCCTTGTGTTTCAGCGGGGTGTGTAGGAGAACATCAGGTCCTGGATGGCATCATCATCATCATCCCCCCAGCATCCAGTGCAGCTGTTTTCCCGTCTCCTCCTCCCGTGCTTCCTCTCTGCTGCGGCCCACCGTCAGCCTGCAAGCCCCGGCGATGTGCGCTTTAAGCCCGGGTAGTTGGATGGCGGTATTCCGAGTGGATGTGCATCCTCCAGTTTATTTAATTATTAATTTATCTTTTTATTTCTCATCACCCCGCCCTCTTCTCGGAGTCAGGTGACGCTGTATTACCAACCCCGCTGCTGCCTCTGTCATCGCGAGAGCTGGGAAGAGACGAGAGCTGGATGGAGGTTGTGGATGGGAGAGGACAGGAAGGGTTAATACAGCTACTCTACAGCCAAGCTTGGTTTCTCATCGTGCTGCTGCCACACGATGAAGGTCATATGAAGCGTGCGGCCTCAGTTAGCATTATTTTTAGTAAATGATGTCAAACTGCAGCCAGTCAGAATGAGGAGCTGCCTTCGTCACTGTCCATGGTGCTCATATGCAGGACAACTCTTTGCTTGAATATTACATTACATTACATTTAGCTGACGCTTTTATCCAAAGCGACTTACAATAAGCGCGTTCGTCCAACAAAATACAACTTGAAGAAAACAGAATCATAAAAGTACATCAGGTTTCATAGAACAAAAACATTTCAAGTGCTACTCAACTGGCTTTAGAAAAGCCACTGGCTTTAGAAAAGAATAGAAGTGGAAGTCCTTATACCATTTTTGGTAATGGTGTCAAATACTTCCATTTCCATTAATTATGGCATTCTGTCAGTGTTCTTAATGTTGATTCCATCTATTATCCCTCACTCGAAGGCACATTATTCTTTGTATGGATGGCATCATAACAATTAAGTTTGTTAAAGCAAAAGCATAGACGTTATAATAAAAAATGTTTTGCCCTGATATCAAACAATATTATAAAATAATTCCCCCCTGAGAGTGATACATGAAATGCAGTATACTCCTAAATTAGGTTCTAAATGGGGTTGTAAATAAAAACAAGAAGTTCTGCTACAGATTCATATTCAGGTTTGGCTTTTCGACAATCTTTGCTTTTTAGTGAAAACACTGGTCACTTTTTGCATCTAAAATTGTACAATGACATTATCTGCCATCTACTACTACTCTGCTTCTTTGTAAGGTGTATAAGTAAAAAGGTTAAAGCTTTTAACAATGCATTTTATTTTAAACATGTTTACATCGTTAATGTTATTATTAACACCTGCTTTAATTCCATGACAATCCACAATAAATCCTAAAGTGTTTAATACCTGTAATCCCAACGAGGAGTTCCACCTATCCGAGTTTCATGATGAGGTTCAGGATGCTCTAATAATCAGACTGAATTCTGTTTTGCACCCCACTCCTTGTCACCATGGATGCTCAGGCTTTTAGCTGCACTGCTCCCAGACTCTGGAACTCCCTCCCCCAACACACCCTAAAGTCTGACACAACCACCACATTAAAGTCCCTCCTCAAAACCCACCTGTTCAGATCTACGCGTTCACTGTTACTCTCCTTTTGTACTGTCTTTAAGAATATCTTTCTGAATTGTAAGGTGTCTTGGGTGCTTTGAAAAGGCGCCTCTAAATAAAATGTAATATTATTGCACAAATGATGAATATGTGAGGCAAAATATGAGTATATGCTGACAATGGACAGAGTGAAAATCCTGTTAGAAATCTTTATTAAGTCACATCGATATGGAATGGCACGGCATCTTCACTTAGTCCAAAAGGACTCACATGACATGTTAAAATGCAGTCATCAAAGCTGCTTCTTATTTACAAATAATTAAAATTAAATACAATAGCATTGGAAAAGTAAAATAATCATTATAAATACAAAAGAAAATGTACAAACTATTTTTCCCTCATTTGTATTCCCTTGTTCTTTGAATGTACAAGTTGAGGTTTTTCACTAGTGTTGATCAGTTGTGTGTTAATGCCCTTTCCTCCCCCTCGCTGTGTTCTCACGTCTTGATCAGACCCTCCAGAAAGTCTTTCTCCACCATCTCCTCGATGTTCTGCCGAGCTCGACTCCAGAACACTTTCTGGCTCTCCAGTTTGGGCTCCTCCTTGTGTCCGGGGAAGGAGGTGTCTGTGGGGTTGCGGGAGTAGGCGGGGCCTGTGCGGCTGCTGGCCTTGCTGTTGAACACCTGGCTGAGCAGGTTGAAGAAGGGCAGCAGCTGCTCCATGCTGCGAATCACGTACAGGGTCAGCGTCAGGTGACCCGGCTCCCAGGAGAGCGTTTTGGTGGAGCAGTCCTCCTCAGGGTTTTTCTGTGGGAGGGGAACATGTATAACAAGTAGAAACAAATCATGTGACATCCTGCAGGTAGGGGACAATGACGCTTGATTTAAAAGGCTACAACCTGCATGAAAAAGAGGCTTTTAATAAGTATCTCCCTGCACAGAGTCTTAATTACAGGCAGTCATCTGTCTCTTTGTACCTTGGCTCGTTTCCTCAACAGCTTGGCCAGTCGGACCACGTAGGGTTTAAACTCTCTCTGGTGGGTCCCTTGACGTCTCACTTCCAACCCTGAATCATCCGAAGCCTCTGGAATGAAGGCCCAGCGGTACCTGTAATGAGGCAAGGACTCGCTCAGAAATCACATCATTTAACAAATCAAATCAAATTTTATTTCTATAGCACATTTAAAAACGATTTTCGGTCGAGCCAAAGTGCTGCACATGCAGATAATAAATAACACATTCCTACCGATGTAAACATAAGACAATAAATTACAACATCAAATATAAAAATCAAACACAGGGAAGTGTCATGAGTCGTGCTCTGCTCTGATTAGAAGGCCAGGGTGAAGAAGTGAGTTTTTAGTTTAGATTTAAAAACCCCTAGGGTCTGGGCCGACCTCACATGGAGGGGCAGAGTGTTCCAGAGCCTGGGGCCAGCCGCCGCGAAGGCTCGGTGCCCTCTGGTTTTTAGCCTGGTTTTAGGCACTACCAGTAGCAGCTGGTCAGCAGACCTTAACGCTCTGGCTGGGGTGTAGCGCTGGAGGAGTTCAGCTATATAGGCCGGAGCCAGCCCATTTAGTGCTTTAAAAACTAATAAAAGGATTTTAAAATCAATTCGGAACAGAATTGGAAGCCAGTGTAGTGAGGCCAGAATTGGGGTGATGTGGTCACGCTTTTTGTGGCCAGTGAGGAGACGTGCCGCTGCGTTCTGCACTAGCTGCAGGCGTTTAATTGAGGCCTGGTCCATACCCATGTATAGAGCGTTGCAATAATCGAGTCTCGAGGTCACAAAGGCGTTGATAACCCTCTCCAGGTCTTTAAAAGATAAAAAAGACTTGGTTTTGGCCAATACTCTTAATTTAAAAAAGCAGGATTTCACTACGCTGCTGACCTGCTTGTCGAATTTAAAAGTGTTAGTAAAAGTCACTCCAAGATTCATGACAGAGGGGAGGATGTTTGTTTTAAGAGGACCCAGAATGTCAACAGAAGAGGCTGGAGGTTGGGGTCCAAAAAAGATGACTTCAGTCTTGCTCTCGTTAAGGTTAAGAACATTTCTGCTCAGCCAGGACTTCATTTCTGTCAGGCAATCCATCAACTGCTGTAGTGAGTGTTTGTCATTTCCTTTGAGAGGCAGATAAATCTGAACATCGTCAGCGTAGCAGTGGAAGGGAATGTTACGTTTTGTGAGGATTGAGCCTAGGGGCAGTATATAAAATAAAAATAGGATGGGGCCCAGGATAGAGCCTTGGGGAACCCCACAAGTAAGAGGGGCCTTTGCAGAGGAGAAGGCATCTAGCTGCACTGAAAAACTGCGGTCTGTCAGGTAGGACCTGAACCATGCAAGGGCAGAGCCCTTTGGAAACTATATAATTTCCTTTTGGAGGGCATGCATACCACGGCATAACACCAGAGCCTCGCTGCAGGGAAACGTTGGCGCTGTTCCGAGTTTGTTCTAATCTGTCAAAATGACAGACTGCTTTCAGATTTTTCCGTCATTGTTAAATAAAATATTCGGTTAACGCGACCACTGCTGTCCCAGCAACATCAGTACCAAGCGAGAGAGTTTTTTCCAGAGCAGGGGATATTGTAAATGCCCAAACATCCCAGCTTATAAATACCTGGAAATGTGGACATTCTCATATTCCTAAAAACCTGTCTGATGATGCTGAGTGAGTGACTAGTGAGTTTGAGTTGAGTTACTTGAAAAACTAAAGTGACACTTGATTTATTTTATTGCAGGGTCTGATTATTAAATGTCCTTGTTTATTTGTGAGATGCAGTGGCACAAAGAAAATGCCTACTTTGTTTGGTAGTACAAAAACACTGGTTTTCTTGTTCCAGTCTGTTACTGTCACTTTGTTTTTGACACTTTAAAATACTGCTATCCTACTAAAATGCTGTACAAATCAGATGTATTATTTAATAAAGAAACATTTTTAGAGTAAAAAAATTTGTATTGAAAACATTTTATTTTTTTCCCCTTTATTATTCAATATCGCGATAAATACCGTACCGTGGACTTGTTATCGCGATATTATTGTACCGTGAGTTTTTGGTATCGTTACATCCCTAGTATTTATCAATTCTATATACTGACTGACACACTTTTAACCCAGAATCTCTTCAACGGATAGCTTGAATATTATGAGCAAGGCTTGTTGGTACTGACATCTGGAACTGAGGCAGGCTCTCAGGAGGCAGGGCCAGAGCCAGGTCCAGGAGCTTGCAGGCAGACAGGTAGAGGTTGAGCCAGCGCTGGCTGTTGTAGGAGGTGGAGAAGCCGTTTCCACCAGAATAGGTCGTCTCCAGCCCGGCCACAGAAGGCCCTGACGTCCTAGAAGTGGACAGGAGAGGGTAAGTTATCAAACGGAACACAGGAAGAAGTACTTTATGATGTTTATTTCTAGTTTGGATCACGTATGTACCTTGATATGTCTTCATCTGCTGTTAGCTCCTGCTCCATCAGAAGAAACACTTGAACCTGCAGGGAGACAGGTGTAGAATGTGTGACTGAGTGTGTGTAATGGATTGTGAGTGTGAGTCTAGAGGACAGAAATAAGATGCAGTAAGTAAGCTCAAGAGGGAAGAGTGAGTCTGCGTTTCTCACCAGTTCAGTGATCATGGTGGGCCACAGTGAGGTGAGGTGTTGAGGGGACATGCGCAGCAGCAGCACTCTGAAGAACAGGAACACCTGAGCATGGAGGATGG